CGATTTTATGGCGAAATTTTTCACGTCATGATTAAAGTTTCAATGCCAAGCCCGTATCAACAAACTCTGGTTGAGTCATTGGAAGTTAATTACCCCCAAACAGTTATAGTGATTATCTTTATTAATCTTCTACTAAAATGGTACCCCAATCAACAGCCCAAAGGTGAAAAATCCTGGATTGACATCCTTTTTGTTGCCAGCTCTGCTAAGTTAGCAGCTCTGAGTCATTGAATGCTGACAGGCACAAGGGCCGTCACGGGAACGCTGAACGGAACGCACAACTCGGGCAACTTCACGGCCTTTCAAACTTCCCGGTGCGAAGACATAGGCCGTGCCATCATGATCTTCTAGAAATCAACATATGAACTTCAGGCTGGGAAGTGGTTTTTCTGAAAATTCCAGTTTATGATAAATTGATATAATTTCTATCAGATTCTATCATTCTCATGATAAAAAATGACCACAGACATGTCTTTAAAACCTGATTCTGGACTTCAACGCTCGTCATCATGTCCGAATTCGGTGGGACATGAGTTGCACATGACGCAGGTTTGACTTTGTCGGCCTGCAAGCGGCTACTGAGTAGGGTGCAGTTGGGATTATGGGTATTACGGTATAACTTACGGTATAACCACGCTTTAGCCTTGCCCCAATAAACTGAGAGATAACTGAGATAACCCAGAAAGTTGTGGCAACTTCATGCAATTCACTGCGCAACTGCACCCGCTGACGTTTTTTTAAAACCATCGCCGCTACTCAGGCAGCCTCGGTGGAGCCGAGCCTGACATTCAACGAGCTCTGGAAAAGTTCCACAAGTTCCGGTTCCAATTCAACCGGCTCTTCGGAAGACCTCCCAAAAATTCATAAAATTCCAGCTCCACTGGTCGAATTCGTTTAAAGAGAGTCCAGCAAACTGCGCAATCTCGTAGAGTGTCCTGGATTTCCAGCAGAGAAATGCCAAATTTTGTCAAATGTCATGAAATGTCATAATTCTAATGGGTAAATCAAAAACTGAGTAAATCATGCTAGATCAAGCTAGTCTGTTTGTCAATGTCGAAGGGAACTTCCCCTTACCAGGTTAGACTATAGAAGTTATAGAAGTTATGCCAACATTGTTACAACATGCTACAACAAAAATGAGGCATAGCTTTTCTAGATGCTTTTCTCCATCGAGCTGCTGCAAAAATCCACGACTCCAACGGAACCTGGCAATCACCAACGGAGGGGGCCATTCCAAGGATACAAAATCGCCAAATCACGAAGTCTCTGAGTGTCCTAAGCATTTCAGTGTCCTAAGAAAAGGACACCCTTTGCCGAACTTTTAAACTTGGAGACTCCGATCAGGTGGTTTTTTCTAAAACTCAACTGCTTCAATTTGCCCGGGATTTTTTTTCTGATCTTCGGGGTCTCCAAGTCGGCTCTGGCTGGGTTCGGATCTGGCTGGAAGCGGAACGTGTTTTTTCCGAAAACCGCAGCTGCTTCCAAGACCGCGGCTGTGGGAAGGGTGACCTTCCCGAGAAGAGATTTGGGATTGCTTCAAATCCAAATCTGCTATTGAAGCTCTACAAATGGCGAATTGAAATGACAGCACGACACCTAGGTAGCTGCACCTTTCTGGTCGAAAATTTGAAGGCAACACGATGAAGAAACAAAGTGTCCCACACAGCTTGGACGTTTTGCCAAGTCGGAAAAACAACAGCGACTCACAGTAGCAACCACCGAACGTCCGAATGCATCTACCGCACAACCCAGGTCAAAATGATTCGCACGCGATGCTCACAGGGAAAGTGCTGAATGAAGATTCAACATCACCTCGAGACAACCAGCACTGCAATGGAAACCCTCAACTCCTCAACTTCCACTCGCTTCCACTGTTTGAAACTGGGAATATTTAGGAGTGATCTACTCACGGCAAGTCAAGCCAAAACAGCGTGGGATCTCCAGTTTTTTTCTCGGCATCGATCCTTTAAAAGGTGACCTATCCCATGTCTGAAATGGGATGAATGAGATATGTGACCTCATGTGACCTCCTTGCTGCCAGCCGTGGCATCCGTGCCATCCCCATTTCAGTCAACTGGCAGAATCAGAGATGGAGCCGATGGAGCCTATGGCGCCTTGGGTCCTGCGGAAGCGGTCAACCATGAAAAGCGGCATGGTATCCCTTAAAATTACCCTGCAACATCAGTAGATCTCAACAGGATCCAGGTTTTGTTTTTTTCGTGAAATACGTTCCATTCCAACATGTCGGGGGTCATGATCTCTGAGATGCAAAAAACACCAGAATCATGTCCACGCGGTGTATAGTCTTGTGGATTCTCTACCAAGGTTCATTGCTTCTGCCCAAGGAGCCACTAGGCTATGTTCGAAGGGATGGTATCACCAACCAATTTCCAACATCGCAAGGTAGAATTGTTTTTTGCTCATGATGGTACATGATGATATCCCAGGAATAAAACTCCTAATTGATCAATAATTATCAACATCTCTATCCCCAAATTCATCACAACCAAGTCCATCATGTCATGATACTGTAAACAACCCTAACAAAGTGCCAACCACCTGGTCGCAAAGTGCTTCCTGCTTTGTTCATTGCTTAGTTTAGTCGTTGTTCCCAAAAATTGCTAGTTTGATCCCTTTTCAATAGGTTTGTAGAACCCAAAACTAACCATAAACCACAATAAACCAATGGTTTTCTGACACAATTATGGTTTTGGTTGATATAACCATTGAAATTAGCCATAATTCACCAATGGTTTTCTGATAAACTATAATTTACCACAATTAACCGATGGTTTTCCGACACTCGAATTTCTGTAAAATCCCAATCACTCATGGCTTTCTCTCCCGGTCGAAGGCAACGTGTGGCGCAACGATGCACGAGCCTGTTGGGAAAGTCAGAAACCAAAGGTTTTCACCAGCTTTGGTCAATTTTCGACAGAAACCAGTGGGATAAGCCAAAAAGTGTTTGAGAAACAGGAAAATCATGGAAAATGATAGAGTTTGGAGATGTTGAAGATGTTTCAAGTGGGAAATATTGAGGATTTGGGTGAGCTCACCAACAGAAACTGAAACTGAAGACTTAACTAATCCATCGTGAAGACGGAACTATTCACCCAATGGATACAATGTCAATCTGCAAGGAGACTTGTTTTGAATTCTTGCGGGCAGTATATGGCAGTAACCGTACTGGACACTCAGAAAACTTAGAAGTTTGATCTGCCAAGTACGTATTTGCACAAAATTTCAGGAGATCAAACCAGGATTGACTGGAATTTGAACATAAACATGGTGGCGGCGCCTGTGGAGCGACCGCGCTCTTTCATGTTTTTCAGAGGTCGTTTTAGAGGTTCAAAGCACAATTCCCTGTAAAACGCAGGACTTTATTCATGAACCTTGCTCGATCGATGTTAAAAAATGGTTCAAAAACATTGGAGGCGCGCCTCAAAATTAATTTCGTGTCGTTTTCGCTGTAGCGAAAACGCGATTTTTGGAAAAAATGGATTTCGAAAACATATTCCCAAAACACATTCGAAGCTTTTTTACATCTGCGGTCTGCTCACTTCCAGTATGCGATCTTCTTGTTGATCGATTTCATGAGTTTTCCAAGTTCCTGCAGTAAATCCAAGCCAAGTCCAATTTTGTCCCTGAAGTTACTTCAACATCTTCACAACGTAGCATCCAGAGCGTCCCTGAAGTTACTTCAACATCTTCACAACGTAGCATCCAGAGCGTCCCTGAAGTTACTTCAACATCTTCACACCGTAGCATCCAGAGCGTCCCTGAAGTTACTTCAACATCTTCACAACGTAGCATCCAGAGCGTCCCTGAAGTTACTTCAACATCTTCACACCGTAGCATGCCGTAGCATCACATCCTTCCGGCCGCCGACATGAACGTTATTAGCCCACCCCATCCCCCCCCCACCCCACCCCATTTGAAGTTACTTCAACATCTGAACGACGTAGCACGCCGTAGCATCACATCCTTCCGGCAGCCGACATGAACGTTATTAGCCCACCCATCCCCCCCCCCCACCCATTTGAAGTTACTTCAACATCTGAACGACGTAGCATGCCGTAGCATCACATCCTTCCGGGAGCCGACATGAACGTTATTAGCCCACCCCATCCCCCCCCCACCCCACCCCACCCCATGCTCTGACGTAGCGATTGAAACAGGACGAACATCCCCAAGAACCAGACATTCACGTCAAATCAACATGAAAACATTAAGACCAACTCAAGATCACATGGTAAAATTTACAACAGTGCGGTCGCCTGAGAGGCGCCGTCACCATAAACATACATAAACCATTGGACCATGATCCAGGCTTCGTTTTGGTTTCAATTTCCACCGGTGTCGCGCAGGATCTCAGTCCAGGCCTGGCGCCAAAAACTCTTCCTGCCACGTTTCCACTGACGGCTTTCGGCCGGACCGCAGATGTGACAAAACATGCACCTTGGAGACTGGGCCGACATCTCACTATCCCTCACTTGGTTGTTATGCTTGTTATGGTTGTTATTGTTGCTTGGAAAGAGCAGACACTTAAGTTGGTATCACAAGCAGTAAGATGCGAATTTGAAGGTCCGAAATTGAAATGCCAGTGTTGCGAAACCGTAGACTGGTGGAAGCCTCCTTGTCTACTGATTACTCTGCGCAGCTGGGATCAGCTGATATCACCCCATGTTTACTCCAAGTTGAACTGAATCCATTTTTTAGGGTCGCTTAGAAATAAAAAACCTGGCCTAAGTCGAAGAAAAATTTCATCACTCCGTCTCCCACTTTCGATCGGATTCGAAAAAACCGAGCTGCTCATATCCAAAGCGGCAGGAGGAGCGACACTTGAAGTCGCAGGGTTTGCAAAGACCCAAGTGATGCCTGGCAGCTCCCCTGCTACTCCTCTGCTACCTTTCGCACGAGAACAATGGTGTTTTGAAAACAAACACAGATATGAACAGAGGTAATTCTTGCGGGCTGTAAAACTAAACAGAGTTTGTATATATTAGTATCAATCTGTGGCTCTTAGTTTTGATCCTCCTATGAGTTCAAATTGATCCGTGATAAATTGGACAAACAGCAAACAACAAAGCAACAATGACCACCCTGCCACTGATCGGTTTTGCAAACCGGGATTCACCATGAGTCATCAGTAATTCGCCGGTTCCGCGCAGCCGAACCTTTCGATGGATAATCAGGTGTGGAGTCCTGCACGGCAGGACCACAACTTGAGCGCTTTGCAAACCAGCCCGGTCAACCGCCTATTGAGGAATCTGAGAGTAATCTCGTCATGTTTTTTTGTAGTACGCTTAATGAACATGCTAAAGTAAAGCCAGGATCCGCTCGCAAGTGACCACTCTTCTGGTAAAATTGAGAGATAGGCACTCTAAAGAAAATTCATCAAGAAATGAGGTGTCCTATTGAGCCCAAAAAAGGACACCTCATGTTGAGACATCCCCACCTGAAGGTTTAGATGAATTTACGTAAGATTTACTTGTGATCATATAAGATAGAGATAGTGCATTTCAGGCTTGTTGATTTTACTTGGATTTTTTTTCTTGATGTTGCTTGAGCATTAGGGGAGAAGGTGGAGAGGCCTAAATCTATAGTAACAGATTATAGTTGCATTGCATTTATTTGTGGCATAGTTAAGATCTTGATGAGTTTACATGGGTTGGGTGTGGTTTTACTTGAGCATGTCCTCAAGTCGACTATCTTCACAAAGTGTTCATTGAACATTGTTTTGCATGTTTTTTGCGAACGTCAATGACTTTGAGACAAAAGCCTGCCAGCTAGACGGGCAACTTTGGCAACTAATAACATCCCACATCCAACCCCATCATCAACCAACATCAACCAACAGCACATCAGCATTTTTGGGGTGCCTCGCCATGTGCGAAATATTGCATGCAGGTAGTACCTCAAACAACACCCTGAAACCCACCATAGATGATCTTCCCATATCTTCCTATTTGATTTGCTGCATCAAAGCCATGAAAATCATGGAATGCTCATCTCTAAAAACGCCCAAAATTTTCACATAGTGAAACCATGGTGTCACCTAGGTGCCCGCCATGGGACACCACGTCCTGCAACATCCGTTGCAGTTGAATAGCACACGGTGCTCCGTTGGATTGAGCCCTGGATGGACTGCCCGCGACTTGTGGCGAAGATGAGGCCTCAGCGTTAAGCTGGAGCCATTTGGTTCTCCATTTTGCGGGGAAAAAGGTGGAAAACCCAGGTCGCGCTCCATTTCGCAAGGCCCGGAAATCAACGGTACAAATGAAAAAAAAACCACCAAAACACATTTTTTCAGAGGAAGTGGTAAGATACCCGGAAGATGTGCTGCTACAACAAATGACGAAGCGGGTTTTTTCCCAAGTGCCTTGGATAATTGCCATTCAATGTGCGAAAGCCCAACTATCGACCACAGGGGAACTTGATGCTTTCTGCGAAGCAACTGGACATGATTTCAGTCATTGAGGCACACCGCACACTCAGGTGTTCGCCAGACAGATTTCTGCCAGATCTTCCAGCGTGTCAGGTTAGGTTGCTAGAGAGTTGTTTTTGGTTCTGTTAAACCCGAGTTTAACATGTGTCAAACCCACATTGAACTTTTACAATTCAATTGAATCACTATAATCCCACGTTTCATTATTATAGATTGTAGTTTCAATTCTAATTCAACATTCAATGATTACATATCATATACAGTGTGTGTGTATATGTAAAATTATGTGTATATATATAGTTAGAGTTAGAATGACAATTCCTTCTAAAAAGACGTAAATTGTACTTATAGCCGATTAAAATCAAAAAATCAGCATAGATATTTCGATATGTGTTGCATCATAATCCCATGAAGATCATGTAGAGTAAATATTCTTATCATGGTTTAGAATAAGTTTAGTATAGTACAACCGATATTCTCCCATCGAGATATCTTCAATGGCTCATGTGAATCCATTGGATGGTGACACGGTCCATTCAGAATCCATTGTTTTGATCGTTGTTCCTGGTATCGCTGTTTCACCATCACCGGGCCATTGATGTCATTGGTAAAACCGCTGTGCTTCCACGCTTCATCCAGCTGGACACACCGGGAACACCGGGACATGGAATCGGCATCCGTGGTGCTGGCATCGGAGAAGGGGAGAAGGTCCGATTCCATTTTCGCCTGGAAAACCATGGGAAAACCATGGCAAAAGTCCAGGTTTTCCATTGGAAAACCACGGCTGTCGGAGTTCACCCAAACAAAGGTAAACCGGAAACCAATCTATTACAGCTGTCGGAGAAACATGCAGGACGTAAATGGAAGCACAAAAACATCGGTAGAAAACTCAAGTTTCTTGGGCCCACCAAGAATGAAAATCAAGAGTTTTTTTTTCTTACCAAAAGAGAAGGCAAACCCATATTGACCAGCAATCTCCAGATTTGAAAGAGAATATCAACCATGCTCAACGTATGTGTCCAACACTCATCTGGGCTAGCTCTAGCTTAGATGCGGTTTCTGTTAGAGTCGGTCAGATAAAGACTAGATAGGCAGGTAGGTAGATTAGACAGACGATATGAGCTTAAATACATTTGATAGATTGAATACATAAGAGTGACTAGATAGATAAGATCGATTAATCAATTGGACAGATTTGATTAGACTAGATTGACTATATCTACTTATATACTTGTATGATAGTTTACATCTGGAAAGAGCAAGAGAGGCAGAGATGAGACTAGATTAGACTAGAGAAAGTCTAGATCAGATTTCAGATCAGATCAGGCCACAGAGAGAGAGAGAGAGAGAGCTAGCTAGGTAGAAAGATAGATAAATAGATAGATTGATAGCTTGATAGATAATGATAATGATAGACAATGATTAATGGTAGATAATGGTTAATGATAGAAATTGGTGAATGATCGATCATTATTAATGGTAGATCATGAAAGAAAATGAAAGATAATGAGAAATAATGACAGATAATGGAAAGTAATGATAGAAAATGATAGATAATGATAGATAATGATAGATAATGACAGGTAATGATTAATGATAGATAATGATAGATATTGAGAGATAATGATTAATGATAGAAAAATAATGACAGATAATGACGAATAAGGATAGATAATAATGGATCATGATAGTTAATGGTACGTAATGACCGAGAATAATAGATAATGACAGAAAATGATAGATAATGATAGATAGAAAACACAGGATGGATGGGATGGATGGATGGCTGGATGGCTGGATGGCTGGATGGCTGGCTGGCTGGCTGGATAGATAGATAGATAGATAGATAGACAGATAGATAGACAGATAGATAGATAGATAGACAGATAGATAGATAAACAGATAGATAGACAGATAGATAGACAGATAGACAAATAGACAGATAGACAGATAGACAGACAGACAGATAGATCAGATAGATTAGATAGATTAGATAGATTGGATAGATTGGATAGATTGGATGGATTGGATAGATTGGATGGATAGATAGATAGATAGGTATATAGGTAGATAGATAAATAGGTAGATAGATAGGGAAATAGATAGGCAAATAGATTGGCAAATAGATAGGCAGATAAATAGGCAAAGAGACAAACACACAGATTGATTGATGGCTAGATTTGACTGTGTCAACTTTCAACTCACATTTGACATTGGTTGCAACCAGAACAAACCTGGAAAAAAAAGTTCCTACTCGTAGCATAGACTTTCAATCTTTCAGATGGAACCTACAAACATGGTAAGGTTCTCTGGTTCAAACAACACACAAAAAAAAAAAAAACACACACACAACGCAGTGACTTCACTGTGGACATCTCTTGGTCTTTCAGTGGTCATGGTCAGGACGTGAGCTGTATGTTTCATGTCTGGCATTTTCTAACAACATGTACCCAAAGCATGTGGCATCTATGTGGGTAAATCCGTACATTTACTGTAGAAACATGATAAGTTTACATGATGTATAGAGCACCATTGGGCATCATTGAGCATCAAACTGTCCCCCGCGGGCTGCCCCATCTCTCCTCGCGTCGTACGAGGCCTACTTCCTGCGATCCAAGACATCGATATTCCATGAGCTCAAAGAAGAAATCCAAAACTTGCATGACTTTTGCTCCAATCAAAGAATCTTGAACAGAAATCCGCAAGCCTGCCGGCGTGTTTTGTGGATGTTCTTGCGATACATCTTGCGATAGCTTTAGCTTCACCTATAGATTGCTCCTTCAACGGATTTTTGGTTTCGCTGCCCTACCCACCCGGTCCCCCCCCTTATATACACTCTAGTATAGTCTAGTCTCTTCTAGTCTAGTCTCGTCTCTTTCTCAGGCATTGTCGTCTCGGTGGTCATCGTCATCGTCATCATAATCGTCATCGTCATTGTCGTCATCGTCATCGTCATCATCATCATCATCATCATCATCATCATCATCGGCCTCATCATCAGCGGCCTCATCATCATCAGCCTCATCATCATCGGCATCAGCATCATCAGCCTCATCATCATCGACATCAGCATCATCGGCATCAGCATCAGCATCAGCATCAGCATATTCTTCTTCTTCTTCTTCTTCTCCTTCTCCTTCTCCTTCTCCTTCTCTTTCTCCTTCTCTTTCTCCTTCAACTTCTTCTCCTTCTCCTTCTCCTTCTCCTTCAACTTCTTCTCCTTCTCCTTCTCCTTCTCCTTCAACTTCAACTTCTTCTCCTTCTCCTTCTCCTTCTCCTTCAACTTCTCCTTCTCCTTCAACTTCTCCTTCTCCTTCAACTTCTTCTTCTTCTTCTCCTCCTTCCTCTTCTGTTCTCTTCCTTCCTCCTCCTTCATCCTCTCATGTCCGTCTTCTCTTTCGTTCCTCCGGCTCGCCTCTGTGATACGCCCTTTTTCCACCTTTTCTCCACGCTTTATGGCCCGTTCTCTGGGATGCGGCATTTTTCCACGTTTTCTCCAGGCTTTCCTGTCCGTTCCAGGCAGAAGTGCGTTCTAACCTGCCGCTTTCGCGCCCAACACTTTCCATAAGCACCTGCCACTCCTGCTTTTCCTCTCGACTCACGGCCTTCTGCGGGCGCACTCTCACAGCCATGGCGCTTGCATCTACCAACATGACTCCTTTCTGTTCAATCTCCAAGGTCTCAGACACACCAGCTTCTACACAAACCAACTTTTACACCAACCAGCTTTTACACAAACATTCGTTTACACCGAGCACTTTTTGCAGAAAGCCACTTTTACACCAACCAGCTTTTACACAAACTCGCTTTTCCACACAGCACCTTTTACACCAACCAGCCCTTACCGGCCAACCATCTTTTACACAAAACACCTTTTGCACCAACCAACTTTTACAAACCATATTTTACACAAACCAGCTCTTCCACAAACCACATCTTAGACAAACTACCTTTTACGCAAAGCATCTTTTACACCAACCAGCTTTACACAACCCCTGTAGGATTTTTCAATCTGAGCCCCTGACCTTTGGCCCAAATTTCTCGAGCCCCGGTGGTGGCCGCGGGGGGATCTGAAAGGCAGTCTCTGGCCTGGAAAAGGGCTGGGGCCCTGGGGCCAGTGAAATCTTTGTTGGTTGAGTTTCACCATGTTTCACCTCAGTTCACCTCATTTCACCCCAGTTCACCCCATTAGCTAGTTCGTGAAATATCATGTTCTATCGCCCATAAACATCCATAAACCATCAATGATCATGAAAAATTTGAGTCAACTCAGCGATCGTTTGGGGGCCTCCATAGATCGCTGTACCCTCCTGTAAACGTTTCAAAAGATGTGGAAGCCCACCATTTGCAAATCATTTTCCGAATAGGAAACCATTCGTTTTCTACATCTTTTTACATCCATGGTAGTTTTACCCTGACTAAACGGACCATGGCCTTCCAGTTCGCAAGCTGTTAGTCATTAGAGGGGATACTCGGATACTGATCTTTCATGGCTGGCTCATTTCCTAAGTCATAGGGCCTCAGTTATCCTCCATTTTTGGGGTGGCCATTTTCGCCAATAAAGCATCCAGCTATTGGAGGTACCAACACGAAATCTCTCCGTACCTGGAGGCTGCCATTCTCTGATCACAACATCTTCCCGCGGCAGCCAAAAAAAAGGGGCTGCGAAGGTGACAAAGTGGCGGCCAAAGTGCGGGAAATTCGGCGAAGTCTGGGGTTTTGTGGTTTTTCCATGTTTTTCCCGCACCCTTTTTTTCTTCGCCCAAGCAATATCATCAACCCAAGTACTGCTGAATATTTTGCACAACTTTGCACATGAAGATCTGATGTACATCTTATCTCTTTCGGCATCTGCAAAGCATGACCGGCTGGACCGCCAAGATTTGACGAAATGCAGCTCGAGCCGTTTGCACCTGGCGATTCTGTCCAAAAATTGGATACCATCTGGTTATGACTAACAGTTTGCCATGGAAAATCACCATGCTATTAATAGGTAAACCATCTATTTCTATGGGCTATTTTCTATGGCTATGTTAAATAACCAGAGGGTATATCAAATACCTTTAAATTCTTAAGGCTGATCAGTTTCCTCCACCAAGAAATTGACTTTTGGTGGCCAAAAATTGTAAACGACACAAACAAACCTGAACTGGTTTTCCCGGAATCTTAGACTTGTACAATAGATTCATCTAAAATGCACGTTTTTTCTTACTACGTCTCAATCTGTTCAGGAGTCCAGAGGGACACTGCTTAAAAATCAACTGCCACCACTGCCTCATCATTGCTTGTACCTCAGTCCGAATCAGTGGTTGCAATCCAAGTTTTCTCCAAGCGGTTCTGTTGCCTTTCTGTTGTCTGGTTGGCAAACTATCTCCGAGACTGTCTCCCACAATTCCCTCAGAAACCACCCCACCCAGCCCAGTGTATGTGGCGGGCCCATCACGATGGAAGTTCCAGCAGATCCATCCAAAAGCTCACGGCGATTTTTGTGAAACTCTGCGTCATGGAACTTGAGCTGTGGCCGTTGATGGTGTGTCAAAAAACTGACTTCAAAACACTTCAAGACATCAAAGTTCTGGTGAAAATTTCGTCTCATGGGATCCTAAAGAAAATGCTCGAAACTGCTTGAGAAAAGGCACATGCAAAAGATGAGACGACGTATTGCAATCGGAAGCAACGTGTGATTGGAGAATGTCAACTGCAAAATGTGAAAAACATATATTTAGAATCATTTAGAAACACCAGGAAACACCATGATTTCATAACTCAAGCATGCCGCGAAGCCAGCAGAACTGTTGCATTTTGGTCAATTTTGGTCCACCAAATCACGAAAGTGACTCTGCAATGCCCAAGTAGTGGACACGCTTGAGACTGGCAAGCTCCTGCTGCAGCTCTTGCACAGCAGCAGCTTCCAAACACAATGCAAAGTCCTAAAATCCGACCAACCCGCCATGTCCCGAAGCTGTTCGTCCAGCCCTTCGCTTGACCAAGTCGGGACATGAACAAGTGGACTACTGCTGACCCCGCAAAATGCATCAAAACAGCGGTTACATCAATGCTACACCAATGTTCGATCATAGTTATCAACTTGCAGTATTTATGACTTTTGCATACTTTTACTATATTTTACTATAAGTTTATATAGCATGTTACAATGTTTCATCTACCCCTTTCATCTACCTTTCATCCCTCCGAACTCAGTGCATTTTGGGGTCCAAAACCTTGGGACGGCCCCGTGTTCAAAGACGACTCGAGGCGAGCACCGAAAGGTCCGCACGAGGCACGGTTGGCCTATCATGACCTGGAAATGTCGCCATGATCGGAGATTTCAGCGCCATCCCAGTTACTTGATGTAAACGGTCGCACCAACTCGAGTCATTTAAGAACTCCGAGTTTAGTTGCAACTCTACACAGATCGGACAATGATTTTTCCATAGTTCTTCCATGGTTTTCTCATGATGTAAATAACTCCCATCCAAAGTTGCTGTACCGGAGAGATGAATGTCGGACAATCATCACTCCCTAAACACAAGGTACAGGAAAAACAGTTTTTTTTGGAGGGAGATGTCTGATTTCTATTGATTTCTGAGCTCAATCTCGTGTGGAATGTCTTCGGCTCGATAATCTGGGGCGACTGATGATTCGTTGTGATGGGCGAGTCATGGCACTTTCTACACGACAGACCGAACCCAAAGAGCACACTGGAAACGTGAGCTCTTTCGTGTCTTTCGTGTCTTTTGTGTCTTTCTCATCTGGGGATGTCACCGAAGACCTTCGGAGTGGGGGAGATCTGGATGTGGATGAATCATGGAGATCTTTCTCCACTCTCTCCACTCTAAGGCCTGGCAGTTTGGTTTTCTTGGAAGCTGAGGCTGACCGGGATGAACTGATTGGACTTTGATTCGCTTTTGGTGTGATGGGGTGAGTTGTCTTCTCATCGGAAGTGACAAAGATTCGATCTTTGCCCTTGCTATTTGCGGTCGATCCGTTGGATCCGTGGTCTCCGTTGGATCCGTTGGATCCAGTCTCTTGCTTGGGCATCTGAAATGTCTCATCATCCAAAGAGGTTTTGATCTGTAAATGTGGTCGATGAAAACGACTCCACCTCGGTGACCTCGCTGGCGGCGACGTTGGTGTCCGCGATGAAACTCCCAGCAAGGTGGGCGCCACTGGCTCGGTCTCAACGGGCACACCTTCCTGAAATCTGAAAAAAGCTCCACTGAAATGGTCAGTTTCAAAGGGTTTTTAGCATGGTTTAGCAAAGCATTAAAAAAAATGTCATGGAATTATAGATGGATATAGATATTATATATATATATAGATAGTGAGAGAGAGAGAGAGAAATTATAGACGTTTATAGATTTCTGTTTCAAGTCAAAAGCGGCTCAAACATATGTTGTAGCTGCTGCATGTTCCGTTCAATTTCTCTCTGAATCTGTGGTTATCTCTTTGCCAAAGGTCCACATCGCTTCGCGTTTCATCGTCCATGACAATCGGATCTTGCTCCGAAAGGATCTCCTGGAAATTCGGGACGTTATCCTTCCGTTCCAAACTTTCTTCGTCACTGGACAAACTCTCATCACTTTCATCACTTTCCACCTCCCGGCGGGTCGATGTCACAAATCTGCTCAACTTGCTGCCGATGATTCTGTTTCATAAAAGTCCCTGAAGCCTCCGTTTGATTCACGGAACCCAAAAAAATTGCCACGTTTGATTCCCAGAGGATATCGGAGGGTTTTTGTATTTGTTTCAACACATCTCCTGGCCTGATATGAGTCCGTCATTTCCGTGGAGGTCCTGACTTTCATCTCACCCGTCTGACCTCAAGTCATGACAGGGTGGACATCGTGACATTTCACAACCCGCTTCGCCAGCGCGAAGCAAATTTCGGCGAGAGCCAAGCCAAGAGTCCAGCAGAGTTTTTTTTGATCACCAGAAACCACGAGAAATCAATGGGGTATATCAGATATATCATCATCACATTTGTGGCAGTATATGATATATCTGTTATATTTCTAATATATAGAGTATATATTAATCCCAAAATGATGAAGAATTACAGGATTTCCCCATGGATTTCCGGACATCCCACAGCTGAATCAGATCAAAAAAGCCATTCTGATTGGCCCGATTCCAGGCCTTTGGGGGTGTCCTCCAGCTCCAGGTCTTGCCACACCTGATCAAAAAGAAGGGTTGGAAAAATCCATCCGCAAAATTGCCGGGAAACCTGCCATATGGATCCATATTATGGTCAGAAAGGACAAGAAAAAGGTCAGAACATTCGGATTCGGCCGGATTCGGCATTGATTTTCCCTACCTTCAACATCCTTCAACATCCTTCAACATCCATGAACGCATAGCAGTCATAGCGTGAACAGTCATAGCAGGTACCCTCTGGTAATTTAACATAACTATGGAAAATCACCATTTTCGATGGGTAAATCCACTATAAATAGCCATTTTCAATAGCTATTTTGACATAACCAGAGGGTAGTGAGGCCAGGTCGCGGAGTCAGTTTGCATTTCGGAGTCCACGGACACCGTGGCCACCGTGGCCCCCACATGTCGCGACAAGTCCTGGTCGCTGGGGAAATGTCCCGTATCAATTTGGGGACAAGAGTGCTTCTACTCTCATGCCACGTGAATCCCATAGTATAACATGTATATATATATTATATATATATATGTGTGTGATATATATATATATATATATTATTATATTATATTATATTATACTATATTATTTTTTATTATATTATATTATATTACATTATATTATATTATATTATATTGTATTATACTATATTATATTATATTATATTGTATTGTATTGTATTATATTATATCATATTATATTATATCATATTATATTATATTATATTATATATATACCTTCTATACATTATGTCTTGCCTGAAAACTCCGACGTCAATGGAAATATCATAATGTCACTGTATTTTTTTCCAACCGTATAGACCGGATGGAAGCAACCTGGCGTGTTCCATTTTTCACAGGATTTGCTTTGCCTCCTGCCCGCCCCTTGTCAGCATGTTCTTGCTTTTTACTCTCAGTGTTTCTCAATACAAGTTATCCAGTTAGGCTGTCAACTTATTCCAAGAGTGAAAGAAATTTTGTCGGCACTCCCTTGGGTTTATGATCTCAAACCCTGACGAAAGATGGCAAATACCACATGAAAAATACGACCCTTTGGTGAGACCATTGTGTCTCAGATCGCGTCCTCATCACGAGACTCCCCATCTCGGATGGGGAAAGTCATCACATCGACGAAATTGTTGAAACTCACCCCCTCAAAGCCACAGCTTTGGCTCGTCGTCACAGACACCACTTCCTGACACAGGCGCCATAGGCTACAGCCATAGGCTACAGCCATAGGCTACAGCCGTAGGCTGCTGAAACATCCACTTTTGATTCTCCATAAGACTTGGACATGTAGCCAGAATCCAATGACTCATCAGCCGAATTAACCCACGACTAATTACAGGAATTACAAGCATTACAAATGTCATTACATGAAATTCCCACTTCCGCATGGATTTACTGGCTGGTAAGCATACAAAAAACGAACTGGAAAATCACCATGCTGATTATTAATAGGTAAATCCACTATTTCTATGGCAATGTTCAATAGCAAACTGTTAGTATTATCATCCCATAATTCACCATTATTAACCATTAAATCACCATTTATAGTGACATAACCAGCGGATTTAAAGAAAAAAAAACATGTTTTTGGCTGACCATGGCCGGGTGTCAGTCCCACAGCTCACCTCTTTGGCATCGATCTCTGTCTGCACATCCACGTCGCAAGTGGCCAACTCGACAACGGCACGTTGCATTCAGTCGTAGGAGAATTGATGGTCGTGATATCAATGCTGCATCAAGTAGATATTTCTACATATTATCATGTTATGATCTGTTATTATCATGTTATGATCTGTTATGATCTGTTATGACCTGTTGTAAAAGCAACTAATATGGTTTATAATGTTGAGTCTATGATATCTATAGCATAGAGCACGTCTATATGTCTAATCATATATCATCAAACATCTACAATAATACAATATCAATAACATCTCTTGAAATGTATGGTACATCTATATAACTACCCTCTGGTAAACTAACATAACTATGGAAAATCACAATTTTCAATGGGAAAATCCACTATAAATGGCCATGTTCAATAGCTATTTTGACATAACCAGAGGGTATCTACCTATATCATCCTATATCATCCTATATCATCCTATATGAGATACGTGCATCGCAATAAGAGATCTGTTTCGGCCTCGATCCCCAGCACTTTGGATTTCATCTTCGTCAGAAGCTCGGCGTTCTTCTGTTTCCAACTGGCGATTTCCGCTTGATGTTCATCCTGACTGGTCGTCAATCGGATCTCAGGAAGTCAAAAAAATGTGTCGAAAAAAAAACCGATTGAAATGATGATGAAATGCAGATATCAAAAAGATATCAAAGAACATGAACCGGAAAACATTGGAGATTTGTTCAGAGGAATCATAATACTCATGAACCAGCTTGAAAAATGCCGGTATGGTTCATTTACAGTAACCTATCCAAATGTCATGATAGGATACTATCCAAATGTCATGTTTTTCTGCGTATCAGTAAAGTCACAGAAATTAAGGACAGTTTCATCGAGTTCCCGCTAGAAAATATATGTAATTTTCACTTTCAGAGAAACCATCTTTTTTGGTCAACATGAAAACTAACCCCCAAATTTCTATGAAACATACTGAAAAATGCAAAAAACAGAGGGGTGAATGAATCCACCATCATGAATTTTGCTACGATGAGTCCCCAAAAAAAGCCAGGCACAATGCGCCCTCCTCCATGCGATTCATCTGTTCCAGGATCAGGTCGTTGAACCCACTTCCGGCCTGTAAAGTCGGACGTGCAAAAAAAATGATGGGAATGAGAATTCTGGACTTCTCAAAACATGATAAAAATATGAATTCCAAAGAATTATATACATATATTTGATATTATAATATGGATGATAAACATAATAAATATTTATCATGATAAAATATACTTCTTTGATAAATTATATGAATTCCAAAGAATGGAACTTACAGAAAATGTTTATCTTTGAAAAAGGTGGAAATACCCAAAATGCACCACATTTATTCAATCTGGCAATCTTTCACAATCGATTTGGCTACGGGTCAGTTCATCCTACCCTGCCACAAATAGTTGCCGTCTATGGGTGTTCATCCATCCTAATATGTTCCTTCAAATTTGAAAACAAATTGGCAGCATGGGTTTCGTGGCGTTTTTGAGCTCTCAGTTTTGGCCCTTTACCTGTTCGTTTGGCTTGCAATCTGGGTCATTTGTTTTTGGTGCTCCCAACGCCATTGCCAAGCACGAATCGATTCATCCACGAAACAGGATTGAATACAGCAGACCTTTTGGTCCTACAAAAGACAAAATGGAGTTTTTGGCCAGACAAGTTGCATCTATTCCGCCAGTTATGTCTGAGGTTTTGCCTTAAAAAACCTGTATATACTTCACCAAACCAGCACGTGCGGCATACGCCTTTGTCAAGAAGTTCCACAGATGGAAAGCAGCAAGATTAACATCAAACACAGTAGTCACACATACGATTTGGCACCCATAGGCATGACCTGATGGTCATAAGCCTAACAAAAAATAGACGAGCGTTCCATTAACCGCATTCATATAGGATTTCTGATTTCCGTGTTGGAGTACCAAAAAGTAATCTCTAATATATTCCCCCTTGATATCCGCATTCTATCCCAAGTATAGTTGATTTTGGACCCAATTGATTCATCATTGGTTTTTTTATAGTGATATATTCTAGTATATTAATCCAAGAATTCAAGTCTAGTCATTCATAATATCCATGATTAATTGAAATCTATTGTTGGTTAAATGTTAATCTTCCATGTGGCCAATTCCTGATATGAGGCTATGAGGTCTTCATAATATCCACTATTTATTGATATCTATTGGTTAATTTATTGGTTAAGCAGCAATTTTTTGACCCCAATGATCTATCAATTGCCCCAGTTATTGGATATTCATGGTGGTGTCTCCTTCCGTGGTGTCTCCCCGACCTCTTTGCTGAAGAGATCGACAGAAGCTGGGACGAAGTCTTTTCCAGACTCCTCGGGCTTGGTCAGATGGGTTTTCACTGGAGGAAATGGGAAGACATGGGAGAGACCTAATGTCAACCCCGGATGAAAAAACCATGGTTTATGAAAATTAGATAAAATTAGGGGGTATAGACCCCCAATAGAAAAATGATTTGATACTTAAATGATGATATACTTTTCTGATGATATACTTATATATGATGTACTGAAAGTATATACTTATCAATGGGAAGTATATCATCTGAATTACATATTCATACATCCAGATGATATACCTATATATGTAAAGCAAGGAAAAAACAAGTGCGGATATTGAGATAGGAATGTCACGCTCTCTGTGCTCCTCGGCCCTTTCCTTTCGATAGAGTTGCTGCCGCAAATTTTGAACTTCCCGCCAGTAAGATTCTCGCAACTTTGAGAGCTCACTCCTGCGCTGAGTTTGCAATTTTATAAACCAAAATGGAATTTACAGAGTTTCCAGCTTTTTGGGGGGTTCCTAAAATGGGTAAAATATAGCCCCAGTTTTCATCCATTTTGATGTTCCATATTGTAACCATCCATTTTTGGGGTACCCCCCCATGGAGCTCAGGGATTTGACATCCGTCCTGGATCTGTCTGCCCGCAGAACAGCCAGGGTGGCTTCCGATAATCTCGACTGCCAGTCCTAGCGGTGAAGGGTCCGACAGGTTGAACCAGGTGAAATGAGGAATCATAGGAATCTAGTGGTGTTTGATATTTTTTGGGGGAAACTAAACTATACCAACTATACTGAGATATTGACATATATTGACAATGATGGATATGAATGGAGAATCTCTTTCCCGCGTTCATTTATTGAACACCTCCCCCAGAGACTATGGATACTACGGTCTTTGTTTGCGGATGAAACCACATATTTGGGACCATACAATGGTTGTTGCAACCCTGTCAAAATCTACAGCCTAAATCCATGGCTCCCTCAAAATATCTTAAAATCAACCGAAGCTGAAACATGAACTACCAATAAACAGTCATCCACCGACCCTGGATCTGAAATGAATGGGGGATGCGGATGGAATAGTAAACTATCAAGAAATTCTTAGACAATCCTCAACTCAAGGTCTATCAAGCGTGTTCCACATATTTCCCTCCACAACCTGCACAGACTGGGCATCCATGTCATCCAAATTAGTCCTGAAGCTGCTGTTCACATTCTAATTTGGCCACCTGACTGGCTAGGCAGAAAATCACACGGACTGTTTAATCAAATTCACGGTCAATGACGTCATAGATATGAGTCATATGTGCCATGGTCGAAACATGGCATATGAGTTATGATGATCCCACCATCATCGGGGAGTCCTTGGACATGGGTATATAGATTCCTATTAATCGAGTGATGACCATCCCTGAAGATGCGGATACAATCCAATTTTGACCACGGCACATATGAGTCATTTGTTTGGGTCAAGAATGACATGGAAACTGTGGATGTTTAAGTCATCTGGAGGATCTTAATCTCAAATGCAACAAGCTTTTGGGCACATCTTGAAGGATAGTAGAACCATACCCATCTTGGAACTTCCTGGAACTGATGTTCCACCAGAAAAACGAGAAGAAACCACGATCAAACCGGTAACAATGGTTTTGGTTTGTTTGTTCAGCCACCTCGTACTTGTCCGCATTGCTCTGCAGATCTTTCTCGTTCAAGAAGCTTCCAAGTCGATAGCCCAACTCATCTATCACTTCAGTGACCCCCTGCTGCACTTGCTCCAGGGGTAAGCCAGGTTTTACAGCGAAGCTCAAGAAAACGTTAAAGCCTTGGCAAATCTGGGCCATGACTCATGGATACAAATTTGGGTCACTGGGCTGTTCCCTTGGCTGTTCCATGAAAGCTGCCATGGCGGCCCAGTGACTCCAGGTTTATCATCCCATTTTTATCCCATGCTATAGTTTTACCATTTGGTTATTTAACATAGCCATGGAAAATGGCCCATTTATAGATGGTTTACCTATTGAAAATTGTGATTTTCCATGGCTATGTTAAATAACCAAATGGTATATATGAAGCCATGAACTTCCCACCTTTCACAACCCATCAAGGCGCCACAGAACAAACATGAACAAACCATCCCCTGATTCGGACTCATCATGTGCAGATCTACAAATGACTGTCGCAGATCTACAAAAAAGATCCTATTTTAGGGGATTCCTTCAGATTTCTATTTCTACTAAATTTTCTCCACAACCCAGTGCTTATTCCATTCTCAGTTTTCGTTTGGAGCAACCTGAAGCAGGAACTTCCACCCGCAGAAGCAGAGAAGTATCCGCAGGATAAAGGGACCCAGAACTTCTCCGATCCGAACGCATGGTCGAGGGGTCAGATTTCTTGTGGGCTGAGCTCAAACTGCAGAAATTGAATATTTGGATCACAGCTGTTCGGTCACTGCGGTCTCCCAATTTTTTCCAACCCAAACTCAACCCAGCTCCAAAAGTGAATGTTTATCCCTATGGCCAAACAAATGTGGAAATCTCCATTTTTCCAGACTTTCCAATTTTCTCGGGAAGTAAGTTTCGGCGCGAATTTCCAGCAACATCTCCATGTTTTCAGGCCTTTTTCCAGTGGGCTGTTCGAGGTGAAACGCTCCGAAATGTGAAACGACAACGGGTCCCGGGGTCACAGTGGCGTTCGATACAGCGTGGTGGTGGAACGTTCCGACACCACCAAGTACCTGTTCGAATTGGCTAACTGGGACCCTATTTACCAAATGCTGGAGATTTATCTTGGTAGATCCTTCCAGAAATTTAGAAGAAAAATTGAAAAGCTTTAGGATCTAGGATCCATATTTTTGTAGCTAAAATAGTAAAATAGGTATTAGATTTAGGATTAGATGTTACTCTTCTATCGTGACATCGTGGTGAGGTCTGTGGAATCCCGGGATTTACGATTTCGCAGGCGGCTTGCTGAATTGTAAATGGGAATGGCACGAAAAATAATCTATAAATCTTGACTGTAATTCATTGCTACAGAACGAATTCTGCTGATTGCTCATCATCATGAGTTCATCAATAGATACCCTCTGGTAAACACACAAAAAAACGAACTGGAAAGATCCACCATGCTATCAATGGCTCAATCCACTATTTCGACTGGGTCATTTTCAATAGCAAACTTTTGACATAACAAGAGGGTGTATCCCATTATCATCCCATGATTCACCATTTGTTAACCATTAAATCACCATTTATAGTGACATGGCAGTGTGTCAAAACCTTGTACCCCTTCTGTTCACATCAAAATAGCTGGGATTTATGGATGTGAATAACCCCCTAAAAATGGTATTTTCATAGGTATTGATCCATAGCCACATAACCAGAGGGTAAGATCCAACATATCAACATCGATCAAAGTCCTCAGATCGGGCACCCCAGGTGGCCCCAGGTGAACACCAGGGCACCTCTGATCGGGCGAGACGCATAGGCCGGTGATCTCCGGTCCAGGAACCGTGATGGAACCTGTAACCTGGCAACTGGGGCAGAAAATGTTAGGGGAATATGCAGGGAATATGGAATGGGATATAAAATTATATGAATAAATATGAATAAATATGACGAATATGACGAATATGATGAATCTGATGAATGTGACGAATATGATGAATCTGATGAATGTGACGAATATGATGATGTTGATGATGATCATGATGATGACAACGACGAGGATGATGATGGGACAATAATAACAATGGGATACATAATATATACATATATGTGGTACCCCCCCTAAAGATCTACCATTGTTTGCCTTCTGCTAATCTCAAAGAGGTAATATTTGTTGGAAACCTTTTGCAAGAACAAAATAAGTACACACAATTACTCTCAAAAAGGATAAGCACATACTCAGGTCAAAAAGCACAGGATTTTTTGAAGGAAACAACATGTTGTAAATTGCAGTTTTCTTTTCCATGATTTTAAAAATGCACCTGTCATTCAAAAAATGCAGTTTTCCTTCAAGACAATGCATTACTTCTTTCCAGAAACAGTATCCCTACAAAATATAGAGCATTCCTCTAAACATGCAGTGTTCCTTTCTGAAGAAGTGCCGTCTTCCTTTCAAAATAATATTAGGCCTTCCTTCAATCATACGGTAGTTTTTTCAAAATACAACATTCCTACACAATATGCAGTGTGTAATTAACATTCAGTATTGCTGTCAAAAGGTGCAATGGTCAATGCCGCTTACGGATTACAATGTGCCTTGAAGATAAGATATTCCCTTAAATAATAAGCAATATTCTGATAAGATAAAAGGAAAATCGAAAGCCTCTTCAACGGAAAGGGCCCGCTTGCCACACAACATGTGTGCTATAGCCCACCATGAGCTTGCGAAAAAAGCAAGGGATTTCGTCAAGACTATCACTGGCACGCTCTTAAAAATGGAAAAATACTCATCAGGTATCAGCTCTTAACGCAACCAGATCAAATCTTGGGCTGATACTATCCCTGCAGATGTCAAACGCGCAGCTAAAAACCTTTTAGCTACACACAGAAAAATGGACATTTTTATGCCAATACTGGCATCGCGGCCAAAAACCTCCAGCCAATTCAAGAAGCGACCAGCAGAACATATTGATTCAAAGAAACCCTATCAAAACACATGGGCCAAAATTCAGCCAAACATAACCAAAAATTCATCAAACACTTCCCTGCTGCCGAGCCCCTGAGTAGCGGACCTGGCAGAAGACGACGTGCAAAAAACTTGTCAAAGTGGTATTACGTGGCTTAGGGGGTGGAGACCCTCAAAAAGCCGTCCCTGTGTGAAACCGTGCTTTTGCTTCGCAGAAACAAATCAAGGTTGAATCATCACCAGGGAGTTTTCAAAGCGACCAACAACACATTCCACATCAGAAAAAAGAGTGGGGGTGGGCAGCAACTCACCCTTCGGCACCCAGGACAACGCCCAAACCTTGGAATGTTGTCTGACGAAATGCCAAGGGAAATTAGCACGATAAACAAGTGCCACAAAAACCTCCCATAGCGCTTCGCGCAGTGCAGCACGTGAGGTGGAGAAATACCAGGACCTACACAACAAACCCCTTACAGCTGTTTTAAACTGCTGTGGGGGTGCCCATGACTGCCATGGTTTGAGTGGAAAGTTGTCAGTTTCCCCATAGCAGTGGGCAGCCCAGGGATCCGACGTACAGGGCCGCAAAGAGATATATGCACCATCCCAAGCAACCTGCAAACCTGTAAAAACATTGTCATCCGCTTTATCCAAGGACATCGTGCCAACAACAAATCGCTGGCGCCACTGTACCCATGCCCAGGATCGGACAACATCAGGCGTAAGTGCCGAGCATGAACGCCATGCAAAAAACATGCGAAGATCATCACGGTACGAAACATCTAGCACCAAAACGTTGGACTGTAAAAGGTGCAGCAGCTTACACTTACTGGCTGGTATTGGCACGCTTTCAGCGACCGCAGCCACACCACAGTGGAATTCACGGTGCCATTTCCATAGCCTCAGCAGCGCAGAACTCAAGGCATCTCCTTGAGGGGCACCATGCTGTTCACGACCTAACCACGAACCTATGGCAACGTGATTAGTGGTTGCAAAAGCCAACAAAATCTTACGAATTGATGCGAAATCTATACAGGTCCAACCAGGGTCATCACATCGACCAAGGATACCACGACAGCCTAAACGCTTGTGGGGGACACTAACACAAGAAAGACCCAGCCCTTTCCAGTAAGCAGCCAGACCATCCCACATGTCGGCAAAACGCTCACAAGGAAGATGCCGGAAACAATCCTTCATATCAGCGGCAGCTGTACAACCAACATCAAACTGATAATCCTGAACATGGAGATTAAAATCACCGACCAAAGACACCACTTCACCCATGGAGAGGTAGTCACTCCATAAATGCCGTGGGAAACTATCCAAAAGAATGTCTAGACCCCGTGAAACAAGCGAATGCAAGCCACAACACGGGGTGTAGTGCTTGTTGACCATAAGTCGCCACTTCAACCCTGGACATTTCCATTTTGGCAAAAAAGAAACTGTGGCAATGCACCACTGCCTTTTAGAAACGACAGTGTGCAAACCGGGAATCAAATGTGAAGGAAGGTCTGACATGTTAGCCATGCCACTCAGCACATCCCGCTGACGACCAATATCCGAGACCGACCAAGCAAAATTCGCATCAGGTTTTTGATGATGCAAGAAATCCAATAACTGACAAGCATGCTCAAAAACCAACTTGGGACAAAAAACTCCCAATGAAGAGGGGTTGTGGTCAAACACAGAGACGAAAACACCCTGCGCTTGGAGCCACTCCCTTGCTTCACCAACGTGAGACCAAGTTATTGGGACTCGACTGTCTTGGACAGGCAAGGACCACAAGGAGGAACAGCAGCGCTGCACTGCTTCCACTGTACAGGAGTCCGAAATCGGAATACGGCATCGATTACGAAGCCTCCGAAAAGACGTCCGAACTGCAGAAACCACATCCTCAAAACGAGGCGGGAGGCCGATGCTTGCTGGCCACCGAGCGAGATGCCGTAACTGTTCAGGCCAAGGCACCATACCCTGGGGGGCGGCGATGTGCTCACAGCCGTCAAAAGTAACGACAGGCCAGCCAGGATTTTGCAAGCGCACAGCCTCACAGATACACTGTGGGGAAACACCCTCTTCGAGAGCTTGGCGCAAAACTGACGTGCTTGTCAAACAATCTGCCAAAGTAGGGGGAGCAGTCCACGAAACAAAGCACTTTGCATGCCTTGCTATGGGAACCCAGTGCCCCTTCCGTCTCCATGCGGAAAGTAATTCACGAATTTCACCGCGCAAAATGCGCAGTGCCGATGTGGAGCCCATCCAGGGGACAGACACCGCAACAGATGACACAAAAGGGCAAAGGTCTCTCCGTTTCTTGGAGATGATACCTAAAAGATGAAGGCCCCGCTTTCGCCGCCAACCTGTTTCAAATTGGTCAACTCGGCGAGCCACATAAGCCCAGGCACCGGGACTCAAATTCCATGCCGCGAGAGCGGCAGCGTTTGACTTTTCAAAACGCCGCCCAGCCAGCGCGGCAGCAATTTTTTGAAGACCATCACGCCACTCTTTCCGAATAAGACCCACAGAAGAGGATAAAGACATTTCCCCTGCAGCAGGTTGAGAAGGGCGGAGCCTACACAAAGAGCGAAAAGAATCAAAGATACGAAGACCCTGCACTTGCCGCTTCTTTGTTTTTGGAAGCAAACTATACACCGTCGGCGGATTCAAAGTGCCCAGACTATGGCAAAGGGCGGCTTCAGCCAAAAGCCGCTCGCCAGTATCCACGGGAGCGAGATGCACCGGCAACATCATCAAAAAACTCAGGGCGGCAAGCAATTGTGTCCCTTGACAGCAGTTGTGCCGAACAACCTGGTAAAACGGTTGCTGGGTCGCACCATCTTGAGCAATGAGGCGAAGGAGGTGTTCCACCATACGCCGCCGAAAGCTCGTTGTTTCACCAATGTAAAACAAGGGCCCAAAACGAGAACATCTTAAAGGATAAGGAAAAATAATATAAAGGCATGGTGACTGATGGAGAAGTTGCCATCCATGGGCCCACGGGTCAGAGCCAATGAGCTTCAATAAACGCACATTTCTCCTTGAAGGCAAAACCTGTAACAACATCAGCCAAAGACTCCCTGCCAGGCTAATCAGCAGAAATTGGTCCTCCCAAGAACGGCGTGAGACTAAAACAAACGAAAACGCAACAACAAAACAACATCAAGGGCAGCTTTCAGGGCAGCACTCAGGTCAGGATCAGCAGAAAATAGCTCAACTCAGGAAGGCCTTCGCACAATGTCAAGGGCGCGAAGCCGAGCCAGAAGGATCGGAACTTTCTCGTCAGGGCTGACATTCAAAGCATCCAAGAGCTTGTTGAGGCATGTGTTCTCTTTTGTTTTTGCGCCGAGCTTCGGCATGATTCGCTCCAGCTTTCGCAAACAAATGCGGAAGACTGTCTGGTATAGATCACTCATGGCTTCCAAGGGCGACAGGGCCAACAAGGCCTTGGCGGCCGGGGTCTTACGCCCAGCAATGCGGTGCGCCTTGGTATCCAACTCAAAATTGGCCATAGTGAGGCTGGCAGTGTCTGTGTCGACTCGCTGCTTCACCCAGTCATGGAAATCTGGGGAGGTAGTATCCTCCTTTTTCTGAGCAGGTGAGTCGACAGCCATGGCCCTCAATGCATCCAGGGAACCTCGGGGAGGCGAAGCAGCACCTGGAGCAGCCTCAAAGGGCAGATCTGGGGTTGCCCACTCAATATCACGAGCGTTGGGTGATGAACGTGGTTTTTCAGGGCATGCATCCAAATATTTGAGAATGCTCTTCCATTTGACTGGATCCGTGGTATTCAACGGGATCCTATGGAAGACATCCCAGAAATGCCGCTCAGTCAATCGGCTCATAGGTACAATCTTCATGCCATCCTCGGCATAAAAAGGGGCTGCCTGGGGTGTCGCGAGAGCTTGGATTCTCTCTCGACGAAGATTGTTGATTTTTCGACACATTTCCATGCGAGACTCTTTGTCAGAGATGGACTTAACGTCCGTGATGATGCCATCAGGAGCATCAAAGGCTACGCTTCGAAGAGATGCCGGCAAATCATTGAACACCTTCTTGAACTCAGCAGGGGGAAGCCGAGAAAGCAAGGAAGCCACCTCATCATGCGATCCTCTGGGTGACCGCGACCGCTCATGTGAACGGTGCGTAGCTGGCATTCCATGGCTAGGTGCCCAAACCCCAGGAGGGACCATCATGTGCTGAGGAAGAAAGTACCCACCACTCATCTGATTCATCTGCTGCAAAGGAAAACCGGGATGCGCAGCCTGATGAAATTCAGCACGTGGAGGCGGTGGAGGAGGCGCAGTGCCATGACCACAATGCATAGCTTTAAAAATGCCGCCGCAAAATCAGGAAAAAACCCAAGGCGAAATCTTGCAGAAGGAAGATTGCAACTGATCACATGTCGGGGTGACAACCTTTGCTGAAGGACAGCATTACAGTTCACAACTCTTGCTAGAATTACCAAGGCTCATTCAGAGAAGAAGCTCGAAACTTTTTCTGGGATAGCGCGCTTAAACATGCCAGCCACACCTGCAAAGAAGGATCCAATGGTGAAGACCATCAACGTAAACTAGATAACTAAGAAAACATTTTTTACCTTTGTGAATAAAATACGTACTGCGAACAAGGCAATCATGCCAATATCACGTGTCTATTTTTCCAGATCAATCATCGACCTGAGAACAAATTTGAGACTGAAAAAACGCTAATACTGCCAAGCCATTGGCAAGAGAAATGCCTACACCAGGACCATTCCTGGGGTCCCAAGGGTCACAATACCACAAAGTTGGGCACAGGCGCAAAAAATATGATAAAAGGAAAATCGAAAGCCTCTTCAACGGAAAGGGCCCGCTTGCCACACAACATGTGTGCTATAGCCCACCATGAGCTTGCGAAAAAAGCAAGGGATTTCGTCAAGACTATCACTGGCACGCTCTTAAAAATGGAAAAATGCTCATCAGGTATCAGCTCTTAACGCAACCAGATCAAATCTTGGGCTGATACTATCCCTGCAGATGTCAAACGCGCAGCTAAAAACCTTTTAGCTACACACAGAAAAATGGACATTTTTATGCCAATACTGGCATCGCGGCCAAAAACCTCCAGCCAATTCAAGAAGCGACCAGCAGAACATATTGATTCAAAGAAACCCTATCAAAACACATGGGCCAAAAATTCAGCCAAACATAACCAAAAATTCATCAAACACTTCCCTGCTGCCGAGCCCCTGAGTAGCGGACCTGGCAGAAGACGACGTGCAAAAAACTTGTCAAAGTGGTATTACGTGGCTTAGGGGGTGGAGACCCTCAAAAAGCCGTCCCTGTGTGAAACCGTGTGTAAAGATGCAATGCATCCTTTACTTTAATGATGCTCAGCCTTCCTCTCGTTTTTCTTATAGATATGACATTTTTTAATGAACGACTTCACTTTTTCAAGATAATTGCCTTGAAGACAAGGTATCTTACGCATTATTTTTGCAGAAAAAAACAATATGTGAGAAGATCCAACATGCCCTTTCATAAAGTTCAGCCTCCCCCTTATTTTTTCTGCATGACATCTGTATTTAAAGGACAGACTTCACTTCTTCAAAATAATGTTGTTTGTTTTGTTCAGATGTTTCATTCATATTGAAGGCATATTGCACACATACAACCATGACCTGTTTCTTTCAAAAAATGTTGCATACACCCAAGGATTCTACTTCATTGTAATGGTTTCTTTGTATTATTGCATTTTTTTATCAAATGGTTCACCCCTTGTGAAGGAAGCTTTGCCCATACTTGCACCAACACCTTCTTTAAGGAATACCATAATCGTTAAAAATGGGTACTCAAAGGATTCCATTCTAGTGCTGCCATCCTTCCATAGATTCCTTCGCCCGTTTTAAACTTTAAAAGAACTTTGAACAGCGCAAGTCTCTTTGAAAATAATTTCATATTCAAGGCACATTGGGGGATGTTGTTTTGAAAACAAGTGTCAAAAATCATGCTGAAAATTGTTTGTTTATTCTAGTTTCAAGTCGTGGCTGTGTTGTAGTTCTTCCCATGGTTTTAGGTAATTTTCTGGGAAGGTGCCCAAACCATGAGAAAAAACAACAAAACACCTGGATGATGTCTATAAGGGGTGGGCTGAGACATGGTGTCCGATTTGTCCAATGGTTCTTGGCACTGTTTGGAAATATTATATAGTCGAAACTTCATAAACATAAGTTCTACTTGAAACAGCTCAACCTTTTCAAACCGACATGCAAGCTCAACATCAACGTAAGTTCTACTCAAAACATTGTCTGGAAGGGGGCAAGAACTAAGAGTACCAGGACCTCTATGGAGCCCAGAACCAAGAACCAAGATTTCCCCAAAATCCTCCGACTTCCCTCATCAGTAAGGCTTGGGACTCAAGATTCCACAAACAGTTTTTCTTGGAATCTTGAATCTTGAATCCCCAAACTTTGCAAAGTTTCTGGGGTACAAGGTTTCAGGATTCAAGATTTATCTTCATTAAACTAGTAGCCACTTCCCTGATCTTAGAAGAATACTAAACCATTGTCGAAGGAAGTTTAGAAGTCAAACTTCCGACAATATGGACAGATGAAAAGCAGAGATGGAAAGAGTCAGAGAGAAGAGAAGAGTAGAAGAGAGAAGATCAGAGAAGAGAAAGAGTCAGAAGAAAGAAGATGCAGGTGCGCGAAAAGATAGGAACGTCCTCGCCAAAGCGGCGGGTGCGGAGCTCTGGCCAGATGAGAGATGAAAAATTGCACACCGTTGTGGCACCAAGCCCATTTCGAAGTCAAAATGTACAAAACACACCATTTCTTGGACCACTTTTGGAAGTTGAGATGTCGAAAAAGTGCACGCCGTTGTGGCGCAAAGCACATTTGCAAGTGAAAAAGCTAAAAACACCTCGCGCCCGGACCACTTTTGGAAGTTGAGATGTTGAAAAAGGCACGCCGTTGTGGCGCGAAGCTCATTTCGAAGTCAAAATGCACAAAACACACCAGGTGCGGACCACTTTTGGAAGTTGAGATGTTGAAAAAGGCACGCCGTTGTGGCGCGAAGCTCATTTCGAAGTCAAAATGCACAAAACACACCAGGTGCGGACCACTTTTGGAAGTTGAGATGTCGAAAAAGTGCACGCCGTTGTGGCGCGAAGCACATTTGCAAGTGAAAAAGGGAAAAACACCGCACGTTCGGACCACTTTTGGGAGTCGAGATGTCGAAAAAGTGCTCGCCTTTGTGGCGCGAAGCACATTTCGAAGTCAAGATGTACAAAACATACCATTTCTCGGACCACTTTTGGAAGTTGAGATGTCGGAAAAGTGCACGCCGTTGTGGCGCGAAGCACATTTCGAAGTCAAAATGTGAAACACACCACATGTTCGCGCCACTTTTGGACGTTGAGATGTCGTTTCGGGTGGCAGGTGCAAGGGATGTAGTTTTTGAAACTTCCGCCACCGCCTTGTGCGGTACTACGGGTACATCATGGCATCCCCCTGATAAATCTTTTATATATGGCAACCCCCTTTTTAATAAGCTCCATATAAATACAGTGATACTGCTGGGATATAGAATCATGGGACATCCCAATGAATGCACATTTGAGGTATATAGGAATCAAGAATTATCAACTATAGTGGGATAGCGAAAACAATTGTGATGATGATGATGATCATCATCATCATCATCGTCATCGTCATCGTCATCGTCATCATCATCATCATCATCATCATCATCAGCATCATCATCAGCATCATCATCATCATATCTTTTTGACATCATTTTAGTTACACCCAATCATAATAGTGGGATACAGGATTCTAAAAAAGTCACCATCTTGGCAATAGTAATGGGATATATCATTGAAAAGATCCCATCCCCATATTGGACCAGCCAAGGGGGTTCATGGTCCCAATGGTCCCAGTCGTGATAGTCGTGTAGATCGCCTCCACCAATAAAAATTGGGGATGTTTTTCATAATGGGGGAGCGAAAAAATTGATGTAAACAGTCTGTAAATCTGTATAAACCATGAATATTTTATCACTTGAGGCCAACTTTGTTCGTTTGATCATGGACTCAAGCCACTTGGCTTCCAAAGACACGAAGCTCCGGAAAAATGCGACTGCTGAATTTCTCTAAAAACTACGATCCAAAGCTTGGAACAAGCCATACCATTTCGTCTGAGATGGTCTGGTTCCAAGTTTGGATCTGACACACATTTCACATGTTCCCAATGTGCTCCAAAAAAATACACCAAGTGGGATTTCTGGTGATCGAAATTCCAGCCTCTCCATCACTGTTCAGCACAACCTGGCAGGAAAAAGCTTGCAAGCGTCCAATTTATCACCCTTGATCTATGCAGATTGAGGCGATGCTGATGAGTCTATTGTTTGCTCTTTGATGTTTATACATGTTCGCTGCAACCCCTAGGTTTGCCCGCAGCCAATCCCGCATATCCTTTGACATGCTCAAGTCCCTTCGCAGGGTTTAAGTTTTTCATTTTCCAAAACCCCTTAAACCTAAAACCCTAAACCCTAAATTAAAACCCTAAATCCTGAAAACTTAAAATCCAAATCACTGCGTACAGCCAGTGTTTTCATTCATCCTCTGGTGATAGGTATATCATATTGTTTGGATGTGTTGTTTGAGTGTGGACGAACCAGGGGGTTGCATCATTTGTTTTTGGCTTTTGCAAATGATTTGAACAAAAAGTGAACATGTAGTTGGTTGCATATCTGTATACATATATCATATATAATCCAATTTACTGTGCATGGTTGGTGAAGAATTGATATCCCATTGTATCCTACAAAAAACGTTCAATGAACTCACCATGCTTAAAAAGGTTGAAACAAGATACATACCGAAGCTGAATCATTCATTCCTACATCTAGATCCAGAAAAAAATATGATAAATCATAATCTAGTTTCATATAACTATGATAATTCTTACATCAAGATTCATTTTATATCATAAATCATGAATAAATCCACATAAATCTGCAGTTTCTCTTAGGATCTTCAAAAGTCCACAACTTCCCCCCCTGGCTCATCCTGGCTCATCCTGGCTCCCAAGCGCCGGGACTCCCAACAATCCGGCCATGCTCGGCATTCTCGGCGAAGTCGAAGTGTGCCACATAGAGATCTCCCCTTGCGCTCACCTGTGAGCGAAACTCCTGGTGTAAAAGGTGAAAAAACCCTAGTGTAAAAAAGGGTTGAATACGAAACAATGCTGTTGAATGTATGGATATTGACAAAATAATTAATATCTATTGAATCGATTGAATCTATCTATTGGGCTGGTATTGATTATATATCTATTTATGGATGAAATCATATACCTAACAGTGGTTTAATGTTGCTTATGTTCACTTGTTAATGATGGTAAGTGTTCAAAAGTCGCCCCAAATATCCCCAAATCATATTTATGAACGAAAGAAGTCATTGAGCCCCGGATCTTTCAATGTGGGCAGCCAGCACAGCCCTTTCTTTCTTTGGCGTTGTAGGCGCTGGATGCTGAAATCGGCATCCGCAATTGGCAAATGGGATCAGTGGTCGGGTACCGGTCGGGTACCTTTGGTCATTGGTCGGTGGTTCAGTTGTCATGTGAAAGTCGAACATGGGATCTAGAAAGGTCATTCCTAATAGCACGGAAAGTATATCTTGGGGAACCATCAACCAAAGTTCTGGCTCTCAGCCAGGCTACATTCGTAGCATGGACATCTTTTTCAGCAACTAGCTGATGCAACTGCGCCAGGATCACCCTGGTTACCACCATGGCCATACCACCATGTTTCATGACTTGTACCGTGCCTCCAAATTATGACTCTGAAAAAAAACGTGAATGACAAGCAGCTACGAGCGAATGCGGTCCTCCCATGAATGAGTTTGATATATACATTGTATGTGTATATATATATATATGATGTGCATATACATATTATACCGTATATACTTGCAGCATGTTATAAACTCAGAAGTTAGCCATAAACATCATGATTGAAGCTTTAATCAATGGGATGCATCCAAGATCTCAGCCGCTCAGTTGGTGCCGGGGATGGTCCCACACAGGGAATTCACCCTGGGCCACCTTCCCATCCAAAACTTCGGATGCGAACGCAGAAGTTTGATAGAAAGACTTGGCGTTTTCTAAGAATTTACCTGGATTTACCTGACCTGTCAGCCAGTTGAATACTGACTTGGACTTGAAAGCCTTGGTCGATTGATGCTTCGTTTTCAGGGACGAGCAGAACGGGCACCATCTGAATCACTTGCCATCACCCGGCAGTGTGCCCGGCAGAACTCACCGTGAAAAGGACCTCTTTTCCTGCGTCCTCCAGGGTCGGAACGGTCAATTTTGGGATTTGTTCCTTCCGGAGGAGCTTTGGTTCGCGCGTTCGGGTTGCAGACTTGGTCACTTGGTCCCTTCCGTCATCGGGCTGTCGGAATCCTCTGGCTGGGAATTCATGGAATTCAAGCGTTCCACAACGGCCACATCCTGGAGAAATCAGCGACAAAGTCAGCGTTTGACTCACCAAAAGTCACCAATAGCGTTTCACATGCAGCAGCAAGTTGGTGCTCGGATGCAGCACTGAGCTCCGCCGCTCCGCCATATGGCGCAGCGCCGAAAAAGGGGGGGATTTGAGCCGCCGGGAAAAAACGGCTGCCCCGGGCAGAAAATGATGGCATGGGAATGGCATAGGAATGGCTGAATGCCCCAACTTGTTTCAACTTATTGTAGAATTGTGGCTATTTCTGATCCCATATTTTGCTTCGTGGCATCCTGAATAAATTATGTCGAATGTTTATAGATCGATCTAAGCCCATACATGCAATGATAAAATGCTGTTGGATGAAAGGCATTGAACCGTCTGCATATGAAAATTCCAAAACCTTACATACTCATCCTGGATCATCAAAGATTGAAACCAAAGTGACATACTCATCAATTTCTTGGTGAATTACCCTCTGGTAAACGTTTACAGTTTGCTATTGAAAATTGCCCAGTCGAAATAGTGGAGTTTCCATATTTTCCCATGAAAAACATGGTGATTTTCCCATCAGTTAGAAATGATCTCACCTGGAAAAAAGCGGGGGCGCACCGCCAATGCTGTGGGGCCAAAGCGTCCACTGAGTTGACAAAAGACACTGCAGTGGAAGACTTGCGGCCTGGTACCGCTTTACCAAAGCGACGGTTGAGAATGGGACTCCCATTCTGGGTGACATATATATATATTGCACATAAGTATTTACAGTATAGATAATTTCTAGGAAATTCCAATAAACCAAGTAGTATTCTCATGCCTAAAAACTCACCAGCCAGAGTTTTGGTCACTCCCATAGCTTCAACATTCCAAGGTCGCAGCGGATGCTGAGTGAATCGCAGAATGCCTGCAGAGTTGACACAAATTGGTGCCGTTCGGGTCGAGTGGGACATGCAGATTTTCTGTTGTGCAAACGAGGCACGGTTCATGGCAGTTTCTGCTACCTGTGGCAAGGAGTTGTTACAAAGGCACTCCAAAGCAGGGAATTGAAGGGAATTGAACAGTTGGTAATCCTGTTTGGTGAACATCACTTTCAAGTACCTAGTGAAAATGAGATCCCCAATAGTTGGGTGATCTCTACTTAGGACATTTACCAACCCCTGTTGAATAGACTATTCATCTGTCAATTTGGAAAATCAGCAGTCACTGGGTCACTGGGATATTGATAGGAAACCAGCAGCATTTTGCCGGCTGTGTGCAACTTCAGCCAACGCTGGAAAAAGCAAATCAGATAAGTATCTGTGTGGAAAAGAAATTGATACCAAAAGATTTATATTTATATTTACATTTATCTATACATACATATATATATGTGTATATATATATTGTGATTTGGGGATTGCTAAAAACGCTCAAAAAGACCAGCTCGTTCAAGCTCAAGTGTCTCAAGTTTCTCACCCTCTTTGACCAGTACACAGATGGATGTTTTGTCGTTGCCCAAGAAAAACTGATCATCATTTCCCAGATTGAAAAACATCTCGTAAAATTGGGGTGTAAATTGGGATGATCAGTTCCTAGATTAAATGGTTTTATGAGATTTCATCCATTGGGGTGTAAATTTGTGGTTTCTCTCAGCAAGGACACGAGTTGTTTGATGTTTTTTGCTCGAAAAAATCGGGCCCCGACATAGATGTTCTTCTCATCAGGCGACAGTGCCACCCCACAAGGATGCGCCAAAGTTTTGAGGCACAGTGGGATCAACCTCAGGTTGTTGCAGGGGCATCCACCATCCGCATGCTGGGTGTTGGTGAACATCTTGGTGAACAGATGAACATATCATAGCTGTATATAGCTGTGAAAAATCTCCCCGTTTCTTTGAGAAATCTCGATTTGTTGATTAAAGAATAAAATCCCAACCTGTTTCCTCTGTAACCATTAAACCATTCCCCAGGAACGCCCAATCACGATTTCAGCCACCAATTTCAAGTGATGTGTCAGCTCCAAAATAAACTCTCTTGAGCAGAGTATGGCTTTGCCTTGAAAAACAAAAAGCAAAAAAAAAAAACGATGGTTTGAGACCTCATTTTCTGCAAGTGGCCATCAAAATGGTGGTCCTTTTGACCCGTGTTCGGGGTTTCTCATGTTTCTCCCATTTTTTCCGATGCCCATCCGCCATCCCATTCGCAGCAAGGGACAGTTGTGTGGAGGGGCTGATGGCAAAAACCGAGCCGCTGGGGTTCTGCAGCGAGGTCTCCCCCAATGGCCTTTTGGCCAAAACATGGAGGGCCAAGTGCCTGGTTTCTGTTGGGATTCCCCTGATTCTTATAATCATTGTAATCCCAATTTATATATACAATATATATGTATATATAGTACAATCCCCCGAACTTTTGTCATCAACCAGGGTTTTGAAATGTTTTGAACACTGATAAAAAGTCTCGGAATTTTGGAATTTTGAGCCATGGAACGGGAATTACACCGCAATTAGTTGTTGGGATACCCCGCAGCCCATTCAGAAAGTGGAACTACACCCCCCATCTTTGGAGAATCATCCAACGGATCGTAAGTAGTTAATAACTATAGTTCGTTCCTCCATTTTTTTCGATGGGATAACCAAAGGCAGCGGTTATCCCACAATTCAGCTAAGTTGGTTTATTAAAAAAAAACTCTGGTTTACGGTAGATATATCGAACTACTTAATGGTGTTTATAAACCAAAAATCTATATCAATCACGACTATGCCTGATTGTATCATCTTTGACATTTAAGTTTGACCAACTTGTAAAGCCAAGTTGAATCATGATGCTGAAAATATGAAAGAAATTGCGTGTGTGTGTGTATGTGCATATACACACACATACAATTGGAAATATTGGGTTGGTTTAATGTGTGTGTGTGTTTATCAAAGTTTACTGGTTTACCATCATGAGGCCATTGATGAAGTATAATGCTGGTTATCATCCAGTACAATGCTTTACTACATCAAGGGTCGGTGATCATTTTTCTCGGATTGCCTAATGGCCACGATTGGTTAAATCTCATGGACAAAGATGGGTATAATCAGGTATAGTCGTGATTTGCTATCCATTCAAAGTAGAGATTTCCAGTGATTTCATGAAATTCTGCGAAACCCAAACTTGGAATACCATATGGGCACTGCATTATTGGGATTCTTTAGATCCAAGGGCAAAAAATCTCATAGTTCTTCATTCTGGAGTGTTCCTGCTTGGTCTGATCGGTGGTCCCAGAAATGAAGTTGTCTGAACAATGTCTGGAAATTGTGTGGAAATCTACTACTTCAAAACCTCCAGCGGTTAATCATCAATGCCTACATCTGGTTATTTAACATAGCCATGGAAAATCACCATTTTTAATAGGTAAACCATCTATAAATGGGCCATTTTCCATGGCTATGTTAAATAACCAGATGGTATTCTATTTTACAATCACCATAAATGTCAATGATCCCCAGTTTCAGACACGCCCAAATCAGGAATTGTGCTCATCAAAAGGAAACCCGAGGCGAAGGCCCACTGTCGGTAAAGTACAGCATGCCAGTCCTGCAGTAGTTGTGGGAGATTCGTTGGAACAAAATGTGCATCTCCAGCATTCTAATGATGAGGAGGAATTATATCCACGTTAAGGAATTGCATTTGACATCTGTGATATTGGAATCCTTACCAAGGATGTAGGATTCAATTCTAATGATTGTTTTCTACAGTATCAGCAAAGAAAACAACCAGGGGCTCTGCCAACTCTAGTATTTCACAGGAGTAAAGGAAAGAACTAGGGGGTAACTCACAAAACGGCTAGGATATGATTGACACACAAAACAGCTGTCAGATTTTCTGTGATCGCATTTTTTTCAAGCAACATCAGCTGCACAACTAACTGAGCATTCTGAGCACCCAACTGCCGAGACAGGCATAACGAGTTGGGTCCCAGGAATTGGGACTGCTCGTACTCTTTGACATAGGGATCGATCTGATGAGCAAAGGTGCCTCCCTCTCGCTCCACCTGAGGAAAAAGGAACGGAAAAAGTAACTGGTCATCGAAGATGCGGAAGAGAAGAGATTACGAATGGCTTCAGTATATGTATACATTGTGAATATCATGCATTACATATACATATATAGTATAAAAGTAAAGATTCATATGTGTATGTATATATATATATAATTATGTAAATATACATAATTATATATATACACATATGAAAATTTACTTTTATACTATATATATGTGTGTGTATTATATATATATATATGTATTATATATATATACACATATATGTATCAATTGTAGTATTATACATATATATATATATTGGATGTGTATAGTATGTAGGTATGTGCAAAATATGTGCGTAACTGCATAAGTCCAGTTTCCAAGTTTTAGCTTAAAGCGCCTTTTTGCGCGTTGAGGCCCTGACGCGCAGAATGCGAAAGATCGCTTGATGTGCTGCGTCGCAGACGAAGGCTACACCCTGACTGTCAAAGTCTAAGCCCAGGGGCTGGCCCGATGAATTTCCCCAGGCTTCCATCTGAAACCTCAGTGGCCACCCATATTGAAGCCCTGGTAGTTGATGATCACAACATATATATAGGGAAAATAAAAAGATGTTTGAACCATCAAAATATGGGGAAAGAAATGACTCATAAAAATATGACTGAGAAATGATATAAGAAAAAATTATAGGGTTATGCTATCTGATATACTGGAGAATAATATCAAAATCCATTGCGGGACGACTTATTAGCCAGCTTCCAGATGCACCTTCTGATTGAGACCATCCAATGGGGGGGTACCCCGAAAAATCTGTTGGTTTATCATCACCCATTAAAATACGGCTGTTTGGGAGGACCAAGTGATCCATTGGTGACTTTGGGGGTATCATCAGTATAATCCATTGGTTTAAGATCTTTTTAACCCATTAAAAATCCCCAAAATTGCTATTTATCAGTATAATCCATTGGTTTAAGACTACATACTCCCATTAAAAATCATTAAAATTGCATACCCTCTGGTAAACATACAAAAAACTATGGAAAATCACCATGTTTCATGGGAAAATCCACTACAAATGTTCATTTTCAATAGCAGAGGGTAAAATGGCTATTGACAGTGCTCCAAGGCGCTCGTTGTCATAGCCTTCCGTAGAGTAGCGAAAGATGTCCCCCGCCGAGGAGACCGCGAAGAGGTCGCCGGACCTTGGGCCACCAAAGCGCCAGAAAAGCTGATGGAAATATCATGAAATGTATGTAATGTTATGTTATGTCATGTTATGTATGTATGTATATGTATATGTATATATATGTGTATATCCCTGTGGGTTTTGATTGGGTCTTTTGGTGGGTCGAACTGATGAGTCGAGCGTGTGGCTTTGAGTCTGGTTTTATCACAGGCAAGGACCGAATTTGTTGACCTCTCTTTGACAGAAAAAGCCGTGCGACCTTGGAAATTAAACTAGAAAATCATGTTATTACAAGTATAAGTATGAGGGTACATACTATATATATATATATACACAATATGACTGGAAAATCTTTGATGTTCGCATACCCAGGTATCTATATCATAAAGTTGAAATGTTGCATGTAATTAGCGAACAGTAACTTCCTGTAGCTCTGGAGAGGTCTCAAGGAACCCTAAACCCTCTGAGACTGCTGCGGTCCAAATGTGGGCGAAGTGACCGGGTATTCGTTACCTATGACCTGAACGGAAGATGCTTCGGATCAGAAAAATGGCTATGAAGTGCTTGGATTTCAGTGTGAATGGATTGATTTCAGGGAACATGTCACAGAACACCAGTCCTTTTCACCATCAATTTTATGGGAGGTTCCTGTACTCCCTTCAGTCAAGTCAGAGGTTTGATGTTTGTTTCAAGGTTCTTGATATTTCCTTCATCAACGTCATCAAAATGGGGATCAAGCACTACACATGTTCGGGTGGATATTCACACCACCGAAAAAAATGGGCAGATGAGTGTGGCTCATTTTTTCGCCAACGCCACTCGGTGTAAAACCTCAGTTTTACCCCATTGTTTCATGGCCATTTCGAGGACAAATGCTCTATTTTCTGAGGATTTGTGACCAACACAGACATCCCCATGTTGGTCATATCACCAGTCATTCCGATGATCTTCCGATCAAATGGTTGGTTCAGGTTGGTGAACCAATCCCCGAAACCAATCGGAAAATCTCAATAAGCCCCAAGTGTGTTGCCTGCAATTCTTCCGCCATGGGTAAGGACGTCGCCCTCCCTCTGCTTCTGCCCCCTTTCCACCCCAGAGACCTAGCCCTTTGTTGTGAATTCTGAGCCAAAATGCCACAGAACATTGACGACAATGGCAATTTAACCAAGAAAAATGAAGGTATAAGCGGCATCCATGGCGATTATACTTGGGACTGGGGCCCTGGGGCAATAAAAAATATCCGTGCACCGCAGATAAGAATTATATAGAATTATGTACCTCTTTGGATACTGCAGTGAAATGAATCAGAATCATGCTGCATGATGCCATTCGTCGCCGCAGAATCACTTTTTCCGGCTTTTTGCGAACCGCTGCTACAGCTCTGTTCGAAAATCTCTGGAATTCACCCGAGACTTTCTGGATATCACCAGAATTTTTGTTTTGGTATCTCTAGAGCCTCAGATCACCTGCATCCGACTTCACTGCCGTGCCAACGAAAAACTGCCGTGCGCGAAAAAAGCCCGCCTTCCCTGCGCCTTCTCGGGGCATCATCTGGTTTTCAAAAAGCCAAAGATTGAGTACCTCACGGTGCAAAATTCACGCCCTGACCAAAAAAATCACGTCAAATTCTTGCATAAGTGCCATGAGTCCCATAAACCCTGGTCAATTTTCAGGCCAGCTGCTTTTCAAATGTCAGGATGTTCATGCTTTCTGCACTTTCACATGTCTCCTAGGTTTTGACCCACCAAAAAGACCTTCTTCCGTTCGAAGTTCACGGCTCACTTCTTCCTCATTCCCATCACCCAGAATGGCATCAGGATGAAGACCTGGTGGCAAAACTCTGGTTTCATGGCATCATATGGCATCCACATCATCAAATCATATCAAATCCCCATATAAAATCCATATAAAATCATATCAAATCCCCATATAAAATCCATATAACCATCAAATCATCAAATCCATCTAAAATGGCCAGAAATTGGAGAGATGCCCATCTTCAGAGCGGTTGCGCCAGATCTGAGGGCTCACCACGATTAAAATGGCTCCAATGATCCACGGCCTTGGGGCAACGGTCTTGAGAAATGGTGAGAAATGGTCCATATATGGTCCATATATGGTCCATATATATCCATGAAATCCCCCATAAAAATAGTTTCTAGGGCTCTTCATGCCCTAATTCTTCACAAAAAAGTGGGGGTATCATCTCCAACTTTCTTCCAGTGATGCAAGGCACCCACATCCCCAGAACGGCCCCGTGTAGATCTGAGGTGCCAAGCACTGTGTGGATCTGAGGTATCTGACTCACTGCGACCGGCACCTGTGATGATTTTGGGACTGGGATGAAGTTCTGTGGAGAAAACATGAAACAAACGACTTGTTTGTTGCCTCATGAAATGTTCTAAATCATCTATATCAGCTTACTACATCCCAATGTTTTATCCCATGTTTGGCAAACCAATGACTAAACGTTCTGGCATCGTGGCCTCTGTTTCGGCCATTGGGCAGCTGAGCGGCGCTTACTCAATAGGGTCACAGCTCCAAGTTACCGGATCTTCGATGGTCGATTTAAGATTTCTACAATGAGAAACGACCAGTTAGAAAAATAGCCTCTGGTAACTCAACATAGTCATTGGAAATGGCCCATGTCTAGATGATTTACCTCTCAACGATGGTGATTTTCCATAGCTATGGTACATTACCCTTGATCATCTGCATGGCTTGTCATGTTTCAAGCGATGGCTGTGGCAGGAGCGTTGCAGCGGCAGAGATATCTCTGGATCGCAAGAAATCGAGATCTCACGTGAAAATTGGTTGGTTGAGAGGGATCCCCAGATCATGGACTACGATTATGCATTATGATACTGGATTCTGATACTGGATCATGATACTGCATTTTGATCATGGACAATGATGATGGGTTATGAAAATGGATTATGAGACCAGTCTCATTTAAAAGATGATCATCAATAGGATTATGATCATCCATAGGATTATTGTCAATAGGATTATCATAGATATTATGGTTATGATTATGATCATTTATTGATGATAACCATAATATAACCATAATATCTATGATAATCATATTGACAATAATAGTTAGATAACCAACTATAACCATAATATATTATAACCAACTATATTATGGTTATTATAACCAACTATAATCCATATTGGAGGATGATCCCCAATGGGTAAAATAGCCCCTCAGGCTTTGGTGAACTCCGCTCAAATTCGTCGGTCAATTTGGGGGATTCAGATGAAAACTCCGGTGCACCAAACCGAGGAAAATCAAAAAAACAACAGGTGCTGCAACTTTTGGGTGTAGATACTAAATACTGGATACTAAAAATATACACATATAAACATTAGATACTAAGAATAACCAAATCTGTACTTCTAATACTTCAACAAAATTGGATAAAAATGACCCAAAAATCTGCGGGGCGGAGCTGAAAAATTTTGACCCATACCGTAGACCCATAGCCATTTCTTTTTTTCCCCAAGCTGGTTCGTTCAGCTGGAACGGGGCCCATGCCTCAGAAATTCATGACGAATTTCCGTTCGCATGTCACTGTCGAACATCAGTCAACATCTGTAGTCAGATTGATGGGCTGTAAATATATATATATGTATATTATATATATTATATTATATATATAATATATGTATATTATATATAATACATGTATATTATATATAATATATGTATATTATATATATAATATATGTATATTATATTATATATATAGAGTAATCACCTATTATATCAACTATAATTAATAGTGGATCGTTGTAGGTTGTGTCAATTCAGAATCGCTTTGGGGGCCCAGATCGCATTGCTTGGAGCCACGCCACGTGGGAGATTGATATATGATGGATATCAATCCGTAATCCCATCCTGAACAAACATCAAACATATTTATGATGGATAAGAAATTCTAAATGTTGGGAATTTGATGTTTATTAACAAATATTGTAACAGACAAGAATTGATGATTCCCAATATGAAAACCATTTATGTTTCATGAAAACCATGTTCATCTACCACTGGTTTTCATGATTCCTTAACCATTCCAAATATGTGTAGATGAAAACCCCGCCTGGCTATCGCAAGCCACGAGATCCCGGGGCTGCCTGCAAATGGAGACCAGTTTCGTCCCTCAAATACTGACATGAACAGCGACTCAACGCCTTCCATGATCCAAAGAAAAATCATTCCATAATCCAAAAATCATTAAAAAATTATCAAAAATCATCAAAAATCGATCCAAAATTCGGAAGCCTAAATTCGGAAGCCTCAGAGGGAACCCAAAAATGAACCTGCGATGGAACTCGCCGGTTGCCACTGGATTTGCGACCCGCACTGGGCCTAGCCATGGACCCCGATGGCCACGGCGACTGATCTGACCAGTGATTTATGTGATTTGGTTCTGAACAAATAGATCAATCACTTACTGTTTGATCTGAAAAAATATCAGTTGAACATCAAGGGTAGGAGAAAAACAACATATCGGCTTTTGGATACGCTGAGGCCAGAGGTCTGGTGTATGGGCGAGCATTGGCCAAAAAGCTGTGTCTGCACATGTTGGGGAAAAAAAAACTCAAATCCATTGGTGAATCATCATTTTTTGCAATCAAAATGCATCAAAATGCATCAAAATATCATAAAATATCCACAAGTCCAGAGTAAATCTCCCATTTTTGAAGGCCCCGATATGGATCGATGATGATGTATCTAGCCATTCCCAACCCAGGTGTCATTCTCCCAGTGCACCCTCGAACCATGGCACCCGTTGTGCCACCTGGTGAACGCGGACACCCTGTGGAATTGATCATCAAGAGTCACAGGGTAAAACTAATATGTATTTGTATATATATATATACATATATGTCTATATACATATATATATAATTTTATATATATATATATATGTAGACACACACACATATATATATATATTGTACATGTGTATGATTTATGTATATTAATGCTTCTGTAGAACTGATATTTTCCAAATCAGAGCCCCGTAACAAAGGGATCACAGAAGAAAGATACCGTCAAGATTGGTATACAGGCACAAATGACAGCATGTTCCATCCTGTGGAGATGGAATAAGAATAGTAAGAATCAAATTGAAGGACTCCAAAATAGATCAAATATTCCAAGTTCCCCCTTTCAATTTGGGCAATGGATCAGTGCAAGTTGGAAACACCATCCATGGTTATAGGTGAAGCTCCTCTATCCGGGACTCCCATGTATTTGAACCCTCTCACGCCTCATTGTGCAATGTTTTGCGGATTTAAGAGCAATATTCAAAAATAGGTGGCAATATTCAGTATCTCAGATTCATCAATCATTGTAATCATTGATATTGCCATCATGTCAATGATTCATATTACCCTCTGGTAAACATACAAAAAACTATGGAAAATCACCATTTTCAATGGGAAAATCCACTATAAATGGTGATTTTCAATAGCTATTTTGACATAACCAGAGGGTAATCCCCATCATTCCCATCATGGAAATGGATCCACGGTGGTTCACCACACCTCGAGCCGGATCCTTCGCGTCCGCACTTATTGGCGTCCCAGGCCTTGGCAAGTTTCCCAGTTTCCCCGTTTTATATGGGGGCGGATTTTTCACATGGTTTGGTTGAGGTTTCACCAAAATGTTTCTTCATGAATTATATGAATTGTCGAAATCTCAAATCTGGACAGGTTTTTCAACAGAAACAGAAATGTCAATCGCCAATAATGGCCATCGATTGGAATTCCTGGAGCGAATTTTCGCATTTCACGGAGATTCATCATAGATATTGGATGGTGATGCTATGGGTCAAATTATGATTTTTCAGGAACTGATCTGAAGGATCGTTCATCCACTTAACTACGTTTAATTGACCACGTTTATTCCATCAGATTCCCAACTGTTTGAGGGAATCACTATAGCCATTGGGTCATGGATCACTAGCTGAAGGTTCCTACGAGTCTCCCGGCTTCGCTCGAGAACTACCACCAGATGCCTCGCGATGAATGGTAAACTAATCCCATCCATTCATATTTTTCACTCCCCCCCGAAACCATGGTGGATGTAGGGGATTTAAAAACAAAAA